ACTAACCACATTTTGTTGAATAAATGAATTTTAAGTCGAGTGAAGCTTTAATTTTAAAACAAGTTAAATTTTTTAATAGAAAAAATAATTTTGAAAAATAATTCTCTCTAATTATGTAAGTAACTTTCTTACCTTGTCCTCGGAGATCTCAGGCGATGATGTTCTTTTGGAAAAACGTTTAATTTTTTATTGTTAGACAGCCTACGTCCGTAGGAGCCTGCTTGTGGTTTTTTAAGTTTAGTAAATAAAAAACAACGTAGAGTTTTACAGTAAAACCTGATGACGGAAGACGCCTCAAGCCAAAAATGATAAAAGCTGTCGAAGAAGTGCTTCTGGTTTTCTGCGGTGAATGTTGTAAAAATATTGTATAGATGGTAGACGCCGTCTTTGTATCTTGGATACCAAAAAGTAACCCAGCCTGGTGCGTGGAGAAATTTCTTAGTGCCTATCTTACGACTTTTGGGGCCCGAGTGAGATCTTTTACCTTGAAACGGTTAACGAAAGACTGTTCTAAGGGCTCCAGATCAGTTGGTGTTCAATAGCGGGGTTCACAACCGGTTTTAAATTAATTATTTTTCATTCACGAATACTTATTCGAATAATTCGAATATTCGAATACTCGTATAATCCTCGGATATTCATTGTTAATAGGTATATCACTGAATACTAGTGAATAGTGAATACTCTATTTGAGTATTTGGTTGGATAGACCACAATAATAGTCGTGACGTAATCCACTAAGCAGGCAATTTGATTTGCTTTCCATACCCACAATAGGGTATGTCTCCTGTACATGTGCTTTAAGGGTCAGAATTATTTAGTTAAGTATTTTATTTTAGGATTGAGGCGCTATTGTTCACATTTAACTATTGAAGCTTAAATAAAACGAAAACAGAGCTAGTTTATTATACTTCTGTGTCATAACTATTTTTCCTTTTCGAAAAAAATAAAAGTGCTCTATAATTAGAATGTTTTTAAAAAAGACGCAGATTGTGAAAGTAAAACAAATACATTAAAAGTCAAAAGTTAAATATTTACAGGTTTTCTAAAATTTAAAATTTAATTCTAACCACTGCCTTAGTACAGTAAGAATAAGGTCGAGGCGAAAAAGAGATGGAATAGTTTGACTGGGAGTAAAACGTGCCACTAATGTGGTCTATTTATATACATATTTGGATTTTAGAATAGGTACCTACCTATACCTACTATCTACCTACTTTGGTTGGATGCATACTGCATACCTATTCGTACATAATTTAATAATATATTTTAATATTCAAATTTACTCAAATATAATCGATTATTCGAATACTCGAATATATTCGAGTATTCGAATACTCGAGTATAATACATTCGAGTATTCGAACATTTCGAATATTCGAATATTCGAATAATTTCCCATTAGAATAATTCGTATTCGAATACTCGAATATTCGACTCCCAGCATTAATTTAAACGAGTTATTTTTTATAACTGCAACAAAAAAAGAGGTTTTTTTGTATACTGGCCCCTTTCTACCATCCATATAAATGTCCTCAATATTTTATTTAACACCGTGTATAGATGAATAGAAATATATTGTTTGAGGTTATAAAAAGTCTAGTTGAGGCCTTGTTTATTTAATGTACATATAAATAATTATTTTAATCTATATTCATATCATGAACTATAAAAATCCATAAAGTTATATTAAAATGTACTTTATTATCGATTTAATAGCATGCATTATAAAAAGCTTGGTTTCACTATACAATATTTAATATAATGCACTGTATTAATGGGAAGTAAAATATTAATGCAAAAGATATAAACTGGGCCATTTTCTTAATTAAAAAATCGTTTTTGTTTGAGTGACTCTTAATATTGGATTGGCCCTTATACCGGGTGAGGCAATAGTGCGTCCGACAACGATATCTCGAGTTCTATGATAGTTAGAAACTTATTCAAAAACATAAGTAAACTAAAAAAAACAGTCTATAACCGGAAATTGTTTTCGAATATACAAGGTGAGCCAAGACCATTCTACAGGGTCAAGTAAAATTTTTTAAATGAAATGCCATATATGAGAAAATTTTTTTGAAATCTCTTTGTGGCCTTCTTTCACTCCTGTATTATTGACTTTCTTTCTTTCACTCCTGTATTATTGACTTTCTCCCAACCACTTGGATGTAAGATTTTTTTTTGTTGAAATTATACTATTTACACGTGTATATTAAAAATATCACTACAATCACAACTATCGATTGTAAAAAAAATATGTTGGTATCAGTTATGAGACATCTGTGTGATGACATTCTGCCATTTTCACTTCCTAAAAGTATACAGAGTGGCCAAAAATAATTTTTATTTCAACTGAATTTTCTCAATTTTTTTTAAATGGAACACCGTGTATATTTTTGGATGATATGATGTAGGATTGAAAAACGAACATTTTTTTTACGTATATTCATATGGCTATTTGTGACCATTTTCAGTTTATTGAACAATAACTGCAAAATTCAGCAATAAAAATTTAAAATCGTTTTTTTTTCAAATAATTCAAGAGTGTCAGCACACAGATGTCTCATAACTGGTACTAATATATTTTTTCTTAATATCGATAATTGTGACTGTAGTGATTTTTTTAATAAAACGTGTAAATGGCATAATTTCAACAAACAAAATCATTACATCCAAATGGTTGGGAGAAAGTCAATAATAATATAGGAGTGAAAGGAGGCCATAAAGAGGTTTCAAAAAAATGTTCTGATATACATGGAATTCGATGAAAAAAATGTTAGTGACACTGTAGAATCGTCTTGGCTCACTCTGTATATTCGAAAATAATTTTCGGTTATAGACTTTTTTGTCTGGTTTATTTATGTCTTTAAATTAAGTTTCCAGCTATCATAGAAATCGACATATCGAAGTCGGACGCATTATAACCCCACCCTGTATAATTGGCATCAAATGCCATTAATTCTTGTACTATTGAAGTGACAAGTATGCAAAGATAATTTAGTTTAAAAATTATGATTTATTATTTTAAAATGGATTGTTAATATTTATAGGTATGAAAAATGTCCCGCAACCGCCAATATTTTTGAAATATCACCAATGAGAAATGCCTCAATAAAAGTTATTCAGAGCGGACATTTGCATTAATCTATAGCGAATATTTACATAACTAAACATTTTCTTAGTGTTTTGTCGCTGCTAAACACTCAACGTATTTTTAAAATTGAGACAACTTTGTGAAATGGTTAAAATTGTGCTTCTGCAATAGCGTCTATTTTTCACCATATTATATACCCATCTGTACGATATGATATGTACGGACCTGGAATGTACGATTTACTCGCTGTCTTTATAAATTATACGAATTATACAAAAATGAGACGCAAAATTTTCGTAAAATTTCGACCATAATTTTGACCTATATCTGGAAAACTATAAGAGATGTCAAAACAAACTTTTGTACATTCAGTGCACAAATGGGTGTAACCACTTAATTTCAACTAAACTGGAAGACCCAGAACTGTAAATTTAAAATAATCTTGGAAATTAACAATTTTACTAAAAATATAAAAATATATTTCAAAGAGGTTTTACACAAATAAAAAAATACGAACATTTCTAAAGAATATATATGTAATTTTTCAATTCAAATAATTTGATTGTTCGTAAAATTTTAAAGTGAACTTTCGAATATTTTCTAAACGTTGAGTTTATTAGATTATAAAGTATAATATAATATGATATGATATGATATGATATGATATGATATGATATGATATGATATGATATGATATGATATGATATGATATGATATGATATGATATGATATGATATGATATGATATGATATGATATGATATGATATGATATGATATGATATGATATGATATGATATGATATGATATGATATGATATGATATGATATGATATGATATGATATATGATATGATATGATATGATTTGATATGATATGATATGATATGATATGATATGATATGATATGATATGATATGATATGATATGATATGATATGATATGATATGATATGATATGATATGATATGATATGATATGATATGATATGATATGATATGATATGATATGATATGATATGATATGATATGATATGATAAGATAAGATACGATACGATACGATACGATACGATACGATACGATACGATACGATACGATACGATACGATACGATACGATACGATACGATACGATACGATACGATACGATACGATACGATACGATACGATACGATACGATACGATACGATACGATACGATACAATACAATACAATACAAAACAATACAATACAATACAATACAATACAATACAATACAATACAATACAATATAATATAATATAATATAATATAATATAATATAATATAATATAATATAATATAATAATATATAATATAATATAGTAATATATAATATAATATAATATAATATAATATAATATAATATATAATATAATATAATATATAATATAATATAATATATAATATAATATAATATAATATAATATAATATAATATAATATAATATAATATAATATAATATAATATAATATATAATATAATATATAATATAATATATAATATAATATAATATAATATAATATAATATAATATAATATAATATAATATAATATAATATAATATAATATATAATATAATATATAATATAATATATAATATAATATAATATATAATATAATATAATATAATATAATATAATATAATATATAATATAATATAATATATAATATAATATAATATAATATAATATATAATATAATATAATATATAATATAATATAATATAATATATAATATAATATAATATAATATAATATAATATAATATAATATAATATAATATAAATACTTAAATAAATACCACGGAATTAGACAACCTTCAAATCCAAAGTTGTCTAGAAGGTGGTGACACTTAGAAAAACGTGGACATACAACCATTCCCACCGACACTTCCGATACCGGAACGGGATTCGAACCCGCAGCTATGACAGATAGATTTCTAGTCACGCTTGCCATCGCGCGCTCTAGCCAACTACGCCACCGAGCTAGTATATGACCATACAATGCTTAGAATTGTATGAGAGCATTACATTTTAATTCGTTCTTCTATTTGAAAATTTCGTGAATATCCCAAAGAGAAAATATTTCGCGGTACATCAAAAAAGTAATTATTCAAATACATTGTTAGTTAATAATAGAGATACGAATGAATTACTCGAAATCATGTGTGTATAGTGGTGTGACGCAAGATAAACTGAAATCAATACGTATTTTCTGGCACAAAAATGATATACCTAATCAAGTTAATCTGATAATGGGAAGTGGGCGATTCAAATCAGCAACTGTAATAATAGTGCAGTAAAGACACACAATTAATTAGCAGAAATATGAAAATTTACAAAGATTTTTTATTAATGGTGTTGGACAAAATTTTTAAACAACACATTTCCAAGTTGTGCTAGGTCGGCACTATGGAAAATAGGGCCAGCCATTGTTTGAATTTTAGTGTCTGCAGCATCAATGCACCATTTAGCCAAAAATGCTTCAAGTATGGTTGTAGAAGACAGAGTGATATTTGATACAGGTTACAATCCCTTTGAAACAGTAAAAAGGAAGTTATTTAATGGCCCATTTAATATCCAACACTTTTTTTCTCATGTTTATTTGGGAGCATGGCCTTGCACTATGCGAACAAGAAAGTGGTACTATATTTTTTGCATATATTTATCCAAAAAAATTTCAGTAAATCTGTTGCCAATATTTTAAAAAATAACTGACATACACATACACATAATGAATACATTTTTAAAAAATTAGTCAAGCAGAAGAACACATTAAATTAAAAATATTGTTACGCCACTGGACTGTGTAGATTGGTTAGATGAGACTGGAATTGTACGAAAACGTCAGGGAATATTTTGGAATGTTCTAGACCGTGTGAATGGATGTATAAATAAGACGGCCGGTGGACCGAGACTCAGTTATATTGAACGTGAACGAGTAAAGAAGAAATAAAAAAGAAACTTATAAGTGTGATTATAGTTAAGACAGTAATTAATCTATTGTGTCCATTGTTAATTAGTAAATAAAGTAGTGAGTAAGTGTTACCCGGACTTTCAATCAACGAATCTACGAGTATAGGTGTTTGTGTGGATAGCAAACACGTAACAATTTGGTGTCAGAAGTGGGATTGGAAGAGACATTTCTGGAATATTCTAAAAGATTGTACAGTGTGCTTCTCAGGAATTAGTGGTGACACGAAGAATTAGACTACTGGTTTGTACAGGGTGAGTAACCTGTGCGATAAAGTCCCATATTACCTTTATTATCGACAAAAAAAAGTTATATAAAAATTGTAGGAGACCAAAAGTTCTACATTTTAAAATTAGTTTGAAATATACGGGGTGATTCATGAAAACGGGGCGCTATGGATGTCAATCTTTTTAAATGGAACGTCCTATATATTTTTTACATTAAATTCTCTATATTTCTATATAAAGATATCATAGTCTAAGTTCTCGAGATATTTAAAGAAATTAAGAAATAAGTGAAATCGCCAGCATTTTTTATTACTGTGTTAAATTACAAAAACCTTCTCATTTTGGGTTAAAAAGGTTTATTTTACCTACTAGTTTAGACAGAATAAATTTATTTGTTACAGGGTGTTCAGAAAATGGTGATATTTTCTTCGAGAGAACTTCGAAGCTCGTTATCTTGCTTATTTCAAATTTATAGGCCTATTTATTCCTTACAACTTTTGATAAATATGTTCTATACATATCTTAAAGGATTTAGGAGACTTGTGCGGATATTTAGGTTTTTACATGATTTGGAACGGTTTTATGCATTTTATTTGGAAAAATGAAACAAAGGATGTTCAAGAAAAGTAGAATAAATTATTCAGATTATTTTTAAATCAGTATTCCTGATAAAATGGAATATTTTTTCATATAGGTAATGTAAAAGCTCTTAAACAGTAAAATAATTATTTTATTTCCATTTAACTGAAACAAGCCAAACAAAATAATATATTAAAACAAAAATGCAGAGAACTACTTAATCTAAATGTTCAAATTGATATCCATGCTGTTGAATACATAACTCAAGTCTTCTATGAATGTCGTTCTGAACTCTATTGAGCATTTCTTGAGGAACTAACTCGCACTCAAATTCGATTTTTCATATCTTCATGAAAGCGGGTCGCTATGTATGTCATTTTTTTTTTTAATGGAACACCCTATACATTATTAAAAATTTGAATTCTTTATGAAATTCTCTATGTTTCTATATAAGGGTATTATATTCTAAAACTTATAGTTCTCGAGATATTTAAAAAAATTCAGAACAATGTGAAATCGCCATTTTTTTTATTACTGTTATTTCCTCACTGTATTAAATGAAACAAAAATCTTTTCATTTCTGTTTAGAAAAAGGTTTATTTTAACCATTAGTTAAATAATGTTTCAAACTAATTTTAAAATGTAGAACTTTTGGTCCCCTTGGTTATTTTTATTAAACCTAGTTTATGAAAAAAAAGGCCCGCGGAGGAAACTTTGGGACACCCTGTACTCTTAAGATTCTTCTAACAATAGAAAACTATCTTAACGAGCAAGTTTATTATCTTTTTATGTGGAACGTTTTTTTACATATATGTTAGCTACGCTTCTTTACGTTGCTTGGGTGGAAAAGGTCTAGTTATAAACCCTTTACACCATGTGTATTAAAGTATTAGACATAGTACATTGAAGAAAGACTGAAATTTAGCTACAACGCGATGACGGATACTAGCAAGCATCGTCATAGATTATTTGTTACATCGTATCGCGCGCACTGTGCACTGATGACCGCGCGATAGCTAGATGGAAAATGATTTATCTATTCTGCTGTCTGCTAACATTAGCGCTGATCAGCGACGGGCTGTCTGCCTCTGATTAACGTTGCAACGTTGCCGCTTAAGAGACCCATGTCTAATAATTCAATACACATACTGTATATCTAAAATTACTTTTGTAACTGACTGCATTTGTAGCATTTTATAATGAAGTTATTTGAATTCTAATATTGTATTGACTGCAAAATGGATCCCTTTCTGTATCGCATTTAATTTCCTTTCAATTATTTAAATTGCACCACTTAGACCCGATTTACTCCAATTCACTTGATCTTCAAGTAGATTTTGTATCAGAACTAAACCCTGGGTATTTTATACGAAGCTAGCTCTCCTTTGTAATAAGATATTATCTAAGTAACAGAATTATTATCAACAATATGACGCTAAGGCTATAAAGCTGCTGATGTAAAGGGTTTTATGAGAAATTTTCGTAGGTAATAACCGAGATGATTATAAGTTTATTCTGTATTCCGCCCTCGTGGAAAAGAACAATGCTGGTGTATATAAACTTGTTTTGAGAAAATTATCTTTATATGCTGGATGCTTTGGTGAGGATATTATTTATGTATAATTAATTTTCTAATTGCTTGGTATATGTTAATTACTGTCTGTATACATGGGTATCACGATGATGAAAAATAATAATCGGTGGTTAAATTTGCTTCTGGTAAAATTGTAAGGAAGTCTTTTTTATATTGTCGGACTGGGCATGAAACCAAAGGACTAGAGCAGCAACAAAAATATGCTTTTCAATATAGTTTCCTCTCTTTTGAATATAGGTGTTACACTGTTTCAATAACATCTTTAATCCATTGTAAAAATATTTATGGTTTCTCCACAATATGCTCCTTAACAGCTGCTATAAGTTCGTCATTGTTTCTGAGTTTTGCCCCTTCGCTGTTTTTTTGAGTTTCGAAAACAAAAAGTGGTTACTGGGTACTAAATATTGACTATATGGCTTGTTTCAAACAGTTAATAATTATTCACGTATACAGGGTGAATCAAAAAGTCTTATCGATAATATTTTCTTTAATGTAAACACTCACGATCTTTTAATTAATACAATAATATAGTAAATTTGATTATTTCTTCACTACCATCTCTAATTTATTTAACACCGCATATCCGATGAAAACTAAGACTAAATGCACAAATTAAATATAAACTGCCGATATCTATAATGTTAGTAAATCATCTGATGATTGTAACATTTTAAATACGAACAAACTTAAAAAAAGGAGACATGAAGAAAATATTAATATTGCTAAAAAACTACATTTTGATATTTTGTAAATAAAATCGCAAATGCAGACAATAAAAGTAAAGCCTCGTGGGATGTCATTAGACAAAATACAAACATGGAAAAAGACATTCGTCCACTATCTAACAAAATTATTGATCCAAATGATAAGAGTATAACTGAAACACACGAAATATCAAATGCCTTTAATAACTATTTTATAAACTCAGTTACATCCTTAACCTCAAACTTCGATTCAAATCTAGCATGACAACAAATATTGATGCAAAATTATAAAACTATGTTCTTGACACCTATAAGTTCTGCCGAAGTTCGAAGTATATTAATATCGGTATCAAATAAAAAATCAAGTGGATCTGATGAAATACCGTGTCACTTGTTAAAAGAGTGTATTAAATACTTGACTGATCCATTCACCTAATAAATGAATCCTTCCAAATCGGTTACTTTCCTGACCAACTCAAAAAGGCCATTGTTGTACCTATCCACAAAAAAATTATCCAATCGACATAAAAATTACAGATCCATAGCCCTATTATCTGTTTTTTCTTAAGTTTTTGAAAGGGCTTACCACTAGAGATTACTACCTTTTCTCAATAAATATAATATATTAGCTCCTAGAAAGTATGGCTTCCGAAAAGGCCACTCCACACAAGGAGCTGCATTTTCTTTCTCTGAAAAGCTATTGGATAACTTTGATAAGAAATTAAAATCTGCAGGAATATATTATGACTTCAGCAAAGCGTTTTTGGAGATTTTCCTTGTTTTGTAAGGAATTTTATAACAGCACGGTATTCGATTTTATTCATTTTGAGAAATTAACAACGCGCGACAAAACAAAATAACAGTTAATGAATTAATAATGTCACAATGAGGGCTAACGCGAGTTAAGCCG